AATAAAATTAAATACATTGAAATGATAGGCTGTAACTGTAAAGATGAAAATTAAAAAAGAGACTAAAAAGAGAATATAATCAGTCTGGTGAAGAGAGCAAAGCAGTACACTAGCTTCTGTGAGTATTTTGGTCTGTTCGTTAGAAGAAACCACATCCCAAAATTGTAAAGAAAGAAAAAAATGTATATATATAATTAAATACTATATATGTGTGTGTGTATATGTATATATACATATATATAAAATTAAATACAATCAAAGGAAAGAATGCAATTGTAAAAATGAAAATTAAAAAAGACTTTAAAAAAGATAAAATCAGAAATTGGTTGAAAAGAGAAAAAAATTAAAATTGAAAGACTAAAGAATCATGAGAAAAAAACCATTAAGTTTTATATACTATTTTCCCCTAGTGCTGGAGTTTTGCAATTCTTTGTGATTGGTAAACTTAGTCTTAGCTGGATGTTTCTGCTGATCTTCTGGGGGAGGGGCCTGTTGTGCTGATTCTCAGGTATCTTTCCCTGGGCAGAACTGCACCACCCTTGCCAGGGGGCCAGGCTAAGTAAGTTGTTCCAGATTGCTGTATGTAGCTTTTGTTCCCTGAAGGCTTTCTGTGTGGCTTTAGAGGTTGAGAATGAAAATGGCGGCTTCCCAACCTCCAGCCCCGGAGCTGAGGGCTCCCACCCCCGCCATTCCTCAGCGCATCCTCAGGGAAAAGCAGTCAATCACTCCTGTCTCCCTGGTCTCTGTCTGCACTCCGTGTTCGCTCAGCCTGCAACCCAGCGTTTCTATCTCCGGCACACAACCCTGCTTTGAGTCTCCAAACGCTGCAGACTGGTATGGCTCCTCCTGTGGGAGGTAGGTGGGTCTCACCATGGTTCTACTGCTTGCTGGGCCCCTGCTCAAAGAGTGGTTGTCCGACTGTGCCAGAGTTCGTGGTTTATGGCAATGCCAAGCTGAAAGCCCACTCCTGGGCTCACTGATTGCAGCTGGCTTCTCCGCTCCAATGCCTGGGAATTGTGCTGCACTCAGGCACCCCTATTCTTTCTATGACCCCAGGGATCCTGAGACCACACTGTCCCACCTAGGATTCTGCCCTGCTTTGCTGCCTTAGCACCTTTCAGGCAGGGATGTCCCTCACTGGAGCAGACTTCTAAACGTTCTGATTTTGCACTCTGCTGCTATATCACTTTCTGATATAGCCTCTGGAGGCTCCCTCCCTCTGTGGTTTATCTTCCAATATATCGCCTCGGATTCACTTCTCTGCACCTCCTACTTTGCAGAAAATGGTCCCTTTTCTATTTATAGAATTGCAGCAATTCTTTTCTTAGATCTCAGGTTGAGTTCACAGGTGTTCAGAACGATTTGATAGCTATCTAGCTGAATTCCTGGGACCAGACAAAACTAAGGTCTCCTACTCCTCTGCCATCTTGGACTCTTCTCTCTGAGTGTTTAAATCATATTTAGTGTAATCATTTATACGTTCAGATCTAGGTATACCATATTATTATTTGTTTCTATTTTTCCTGCTTTCAACCATTTTCTGCCTTCTTTTTTTGGAACATTTTTAGTATGCTTGTAAATTTATTTTGTATGTATTTTCACTATATTTCTGCATGTTTCTGGTGGTTGTTCTAAGGATTACCCTATACATACTTAATCTTTTACAGAATACTTATATAAATATTTTACCAATTCAAGTGGAACATAGAAGTTTTACCATTATATAGCTCTTTTTACCCTCCCTCTTTTATGCTGTGGTTTTCTTATGTATTACCATAACACACATTGAAAACATCAGACAGTGTTTGTAAGTTTTGCTTTCAATGATCAAACATCTTTTAAACTTCCGAGAGGAGAATAATAGTTTGTTATATTTAACCTAGTCTTAACTATTCTATATTTCTCTTCCTTCATTCTTGACTGCCCAGATGTCTTTTGGGTATCATTTCCATTCGCATGAATAACTTCTTTTAAATTTTTAAAAGGGCAAATCTACTAAAAATGAATTAGCTTAGTTTTTCTTCATTTGAGAATATCTTTATTCTCTTTAATTCCTGAAGAATATTATCATTGGATATAGGACTCTGGGTTGACAGCTTTTTCTTTTAGCATTTTTTTTTTAATTTTATTTTTAAGCAGTTTCTACACCCAATGTGAGGCTTGAATGCACAACCCCGAGATCAAGAGTCCCACACTCAACTGAATCAGGCACATGCTCCTCTTTTAGCACTTTAAAAATGTTATTTCTTTTACTTCTGTATTCCATAATTTCTGATGAGAAATCTGATATTATTCAAATCATAAAATGGGTTGTTTTTCTCTAGTTGCTTTCAAGATATTTGTCTTTAGTTTTTGGCAGTTTGATTATGATTTGTTTCGGAGTAGATTTTTTGAATTTATCCTGTTGAGATTCACTGAGCTTCTTGAATCTTTCTTTTGCCAAATTTGAAGGTTTTTTTGCCACTATAACTTCAAATATTTGTTCTGCACCACACTTTTTCTCCTGCCTTACTGAGACTCCACTGACACAAATATCAGACCTCTTTCGTATTGCCGCACAGGTGTTTGAGACTCTGTTCATTCTTGTTTTCCTCTGCTTGTTCAGATAATTTCTATTGATCTATCTTCAAATTCATGAACTCTTCCTCTGACAATTCCATTCTGCTATTGAGCATATCTGATGAGTTTTTTCTTTTTTGCTTTGGTTATTATATTTTTGAGCTTGAAAATTACAATTTGGTTCTTCTTTATGTCTTTAATGTTGTTTTCTGAGACTTTCTATCTTTCTATTAATTTCAAAAATGTTTTTTTCTTTGTGTGTTGGAGCATTTTTATAATAGTTGCTTTGAAGTCTTTATCAGACAGTTCCAACATCTTTGTCATCTTGGTTGTGTTGACATCTGTTGGTTGTCTTTTCCAAAGCAGATTGAGATTTTCTTGGTTCTTCATATGTGAAGTGATTTTGAATTAATATCATGGACATTTTGAATATTAAGTTATGAGAATGTGGATCTTAAATCCTTTGGAAAATGTTTAAATTTTGTTTTTGCAGGAATTTGACTTGGTTTGATTCAGGCTACAAGTTTCAATCAATTTTCTGTGTTTTATAGTTTCAATGTCAGTTTGTTTTTCACAGCCTTTGCAGTACTATTCAGAGATATGGGACATCCAGTGGCCAATCTGGTGGTTTATCTTAGAGTTCTGTTCTCAGAATTTATGGTGTACTTTTTAGGGTCAAATCCATGTAGCTCAGGGTGAACCCAGGAGTTCATAAACAATGTTATGAAGTTATTTTCCTGAGCTCTCCCTCTTCACAATTTACTTGTTGCTTTATAGTCTCCTAGAGCTCCTTTAATTAGTGTTGGATTTGGTTCTGAAGCAGTTGAATTACTTGGAATCAGTTAGGTCCTTTTGAAGCTTGCTTTTTAAAGCTTTTTAATGATGATCTCAGAGCAGCTTTTATATAATTTAGCTCTACTACTAAGGCAGCATTCTTCAGATGAGTCTACTGAATGCCCCATGTATTATGAGATCTTTTTGCTCTGGCTGATGCAATCACAAATCATTTTCAATTCTAGTGAGCTACAGGAATTGTTCTACCTATAATTTTCTGGTAATTCTTTCCTTGTCGTTGGGTAGTAATCTTCTCATGTATGTGCGGATTAATACTCAGCCAAAGAGTTAATGCTAATCTCCAGAACTCAGTAGTTCTCTCTTCTTTGGCACTCTACTCCCATATTCTAGATTCTTTGGCCTTCCTTTTATCTCTGTTTCCTCTACTCATTCAGACCATCAAGCTCTGTTCAGGTTTTATTTTCCTATGCTGTGGCATGGAAACTACATCCAGAAGGTAAGCTGATGCAATTGTAAGGTTTCCAGCTCGTCTGTTTACCTTCTTTAGAGGATTACTTAGTCCTGTGCTGCCTATTGTCCAATGCCTGAAAACTGTTTTTTTTTCCCCACATAAATTGTCCAATTTTTTAGTTATTTAAGGCTTGAGGGTAAAGTTGGTCCCTATTGCAGTGTCTTAGCCCAAAGCAGAAGTGTCAAAGATTTTATTCTTTTACCCATTCACTAGCCTATTTCTTTTTGATAGAACCTAGAGGTCCATATCACCATCTTTAAAGATTTCCAAACTTTTTACACCTAAAACTAATACAATGTTATATGGCAACTTAAAAGAAATGAATTAATTTCAAAAAAGATTTCCAGACATTTAAAATCCAAATATTTTCCTTTACTTGTTCATTTTAACACACACTAAACTAAGAAACTTTCTGTTTTTTCTAAGTGAAATGACTTCATAGTCAAGATTGTACTGCTACTCTGTTGAAGTTTCTTGGTTTTCTTTGATTTATTTGATGAGCTCATGGAGTTGTTTTGAGGATCAAGTAGTATAACATTTGAAATACTTTAAAATGTGTTATTCAAATGTAATGTACTATTCTGAGCCATCAGGTGGACTTTACAAATGAAGCCTTAGTGTACATTGTATTAATATTTTTCTAAAGATATTATTTATATAAAAAGTTATTTTCCCCCCACAAGCACTGAGAATCTTTAGGAGAGTAAATATTTGTATTTTGATTTTATAAATAAAAATTTCCCCACTACAACTTCCTTTTAGTTTGGTATGCTCGTAATTAAAGGATTTTTAACTGTATTGACATGTCAGCCTATTATCTTTCAAAATTGGCAAAGAGTGGGGAATGAGAACTATGTGCTTTAGTAGGCTATCATTTTTGATTCAGTGTAACTTTGAATAGCTCTGGATGGAAGAATTTAAATATATTAAACCAGAAGACTATATTTAACCTAGTTAATAGTTCAATCTTTTGGTTACCACCTCTGTAATTTTTTTAACATATTAACTTTATGTATTTAAGCAACTGATAATTTCTTGAATAGCTTTCATGAGGACTTAGGTGTTTTTTTTTTTTAAAGAACAATTTCAAATTGTACAGGTAAATGAAATAATTAAATATGTTTCTCTTGCTTAGCAATTATGGAATGGTCAGCCTTGGATGAATCTCCTTCTCACAGAAAGTTATCAAATATATCAGAATGCTATCTACAATATAGGAAGAAAAGCACTTTATCTTCCAGGCTGTTTGAACCATCGTTATTCCCAAAGTTAAATAGAAAAAACCTCCAACATCATAAAATTATGGAGGACAATGATCACCTTGAATTTAAAAGATCAAAAAATCCTTTGCAAATAAAAAAATTCCTAAATGGGGTTGATAGCAGTAATACAGGATTCCAGGAACCATATTCAAAGGATGGCATAAACTTTAAGAAATATTCAGAGAAGATTGAAATTCATGACTCAAAGTCTATACCACATAACTTGAAGAGTATTACAAGCCTCAAAAAGTCTCTGGATAAAAGTGATACTTTTAGTATCCCCAAACTTCAGAAGCCAACTCTGAGAAGGCATTCCAGCCCCCTAAAACAGGTTTCATTAAAGGAAAAAGCTACAACAAATGCTCTGGGTCAGTATCATATACGTAAGTCAAAATCTAGGTCCTTGAGTTCTTGAGTTATCACGGAAACGAGCTGAATTAATCAGTTATTAGACAGTTGTATGCATTTCAATTGTCAGTACTTTCGAATAACTGCCACTTCTGGTCTATAGGCCAATGCATATAACACTGTGGTTTTGATCATTGTGCCTTTCCAGATGCTCCCTTTTTCAGATGCCTAACTTTGACTAAGAAGCTTATTCAGTGATTAACTAGACTCACTCAAGTTCCCTAGAAAATAGAGGGCCTGTTTTCTTTTGGAAGTAGTTATTTTATAATTTATTTAACAAAGTATGTAAGAAGTCTATGTGAAATTTTTGCTCAGGTTCCATATTTTAAATATATGATATCCATGTCCAGTATAATATGATAATACTTCAGATATTATCTCTTAGGGATGTGGGAACATCAAGAGAAAATTAATATTAAACATCTCAGCCACCCAGGGATTTATGGTCTTCCTCAAAGATGAGCAAGGTTTCCCAACCAATATATGTTTTCTTCCTTCTGTGGTACCTCTATCACAGAAATACTGTGTATGGAACTTAATTAAATACTCCTTCCTGTAATCCTTAGCTGAAGTTACTGAAGTTATGTTTATTTTCTTTAAAGAAATGTAGTGACCTTTTTATTACATTTCATATTACATGTAATTGCTAAAATGAGTGCTTAGTGAAATATTAGTGATTCTTATACAGTAATGCATGTTTTCAATAATTCAGTTGAAAAGGGAGTGTGCTCTATTAAGGAGGCACAATGGTGTTTATTTTGATTCCTTTACCAATGCACTACTATTACTCTGTGCCCCATTCCTATTTCTGAGGAATATATATTTTACATATATATATATATTCCAGGAAGAATTAAAACCCTGCTAAAAGAATAATGGAGTAGTAGGCATTTAGCCATTGAGTAGAAGAAGACTGTGGAAGAAAGTGGTTACCTATCTTCCTGGTGTCACTAAAATCAAATCACCTACCATTGCCATACTTAATGTTCTGTGTATAGAGAAGTGTGAAATAGTTTATCTGGTATAACTTCTCAAAATAAATTGATGGTAATTGAGCACTATGAAATGTGACTGTCACTTGATTTACATTTTAAACATTTTTAACTTTTCATTCAAAACCATTAATTTTAAAATCATAATAATTACACAAAAGTAAAGACATTCCTATTTACTCCTCATCTAGTTTTCCCACATGTTAAGATCTTGTATAACCACAGTAAATGCACTAAACAAGGAAATTAACACTGATACAATATTATTTACTATTCTGAAGACCTTATTTGATTTTTTTCATTTGTTCCATAAATGTTCTTTGTCTGGTTCAAGGTCTCATCCAGGATCACACATTACATTTAGTTGTCATGTGTCCTTAGTCTCCTCCGATCTGGGATGGTTTCATGAGTGTGACACTTTTGAAGAGTATTGACTAGTTATTTTGTATAATGTCCCTCATTTGAAGTTTTCCTTGTATTTCTTCATGAATAAGTTCAGGTTATGCATTTTTGGCTGGAATATCACCAAAATGATATTATACCCATCCCAGTGCGTATTAGGAGGCTTATCATGAGGCCATGTATATCTGCTTCTAAAATTTTATGATTTTGACATTTGTGAACTGAAAGCGTGGTAGACTAAAGTGATGGGAAGGGGAAGAACTCTCATTTTTTGCTTGGAATCCTAGAATTTGAACACATTGATGTTTTGATCTCTTGAACTCATTCATTATATTTTAATCAGAACCAAGCAGCATTGGCTGAGCCACTTGAACAAGTTGTTCCTCCAAACAAGTAGTTTATAAATGTTTATAGAATTTTCAATATTGTTTTCTGTTTGAACTATAAAGGAAGTATTTAGATATAATGTAAGATACAACAGAAATATGAAGAAAAAAAAGCAGTCCTATGAAATAATATTAAGTAGATAAAACTTGCTTTCTGACTGCTAGATAAAGATTTTGGGTGCTAATTGTTGCTTAAGACACATAAATTCTGTTGCTGAATAGTACTTTACATTTTGTATATTTAGAAAACATCTGCAAAGCAATCAGTAAACTCCAAGAAAATTACATCGCTGCAGAAGAACTTAAGTCCATTTTGCCTTCAATAGGAATTACTTTATCAGACAAAGTGTTCAAGAAGATTGTGACAGACACTACTCAAAATGGTGAGACTAATAATGCCAAACTTCTTGAGAAAATAGACACTTCTATGGGATAGTTTTAAATGATGGAATAAGTTCTTTCAACTAGGAGTGGAGCAGAATGGGCTAAAGAAGATTGTAAAAGAACAGATATAAAAATGGAAAGTAGTACATTAAAAAAAAGTTCCCGGAAAGTCTTACCTAATGGATTGGTTTGGAGAAGCTAAGCCTTTTATATCTCAATTGTTTATGTAAGACTCCATGACTATCCCTAGCTATGCCTGGTAGTATGGGACAGGTACTGGGGAAGTCTGATCCAGTTGTAGGTAGGTTCAGGCGGTAAGACCACAATAACCAAGGGGTACAAAAATCTCTAAGCAAATAGCCTAAGGATCCAAGAAGAAATGATTGGAGATTCCCAAATTGGAGAAGGAGTGCTACAGCTAGGAATTTGGGCTAGTGCTACTTAAACAAGAAGGCAGGCAGTGAGCATCTAGATGATGTTAAATGGCATATCCCAGTCACCAGCCTAAATTCAATGCAGAGTTTAAATTTCCAGGAAGGGTTGTTGTATTAGAGAAGTTGTTTTATTATTAAGAACTGTCCATAGCAGAAGTTCAGTTGAAGAGAAGGCAGAGGCAACATTTTGGGGAAAGAATGACTTGGGAATATGTTAGAAATGAATTCTTAGAACCTGAACAAAATTTCCTAGCTAAAGCAAAGAGAAAGAAGATTTGATTAAAAAATAAAATCTAAGGAATAGGTGCTACTAAAATTATTGAGCTCTTTATGTTGCTTATCAAGATTGGTATAAGCACTGTGGAGGGTTTGTATCTAAAAATAGATAATTATTTGGATTAGCTGGATACTAGGGGTAGATATGGGGACACTTGGGTATGTAAGGACTGGTTAGTATTGTCAAGGTATCTTAATGGATAGCATATTGACTGGGTTTTCATGATGGTATGAAATAGACTCAAATTTCTCATGGTCCATCTATATGGGCACTTTTCCTTTTTCCTATATCTATCAAGAACTGAGTGCCTAATCCAGTCCATTGCACTTTATAGTAGATATTTAAAAATTGTTGAGTAATTGTTGAAATGAAATGAACTGACCTAATTTAGAAAGACTCATCTAGGGAAACAAGATATGAAGACTCAATAGGATAATGATGAAGTGAAGGAGAATTCTTTCATAGTTGTTTTAAAATATGAATTTACCTTTTATGCAAAAACACAACAGAGTGCATATCCAACTCTTTATTTTACAGAAAGTGGAATGGTGAACTTAGATGACTTTATGAATGCTCTCGCCATAGAGCAAAGTCTTCCTGAATATGATGGTAGGTGGGAAGTTTATTTTAAAATGATTTGGAGGAAAGAAGCAGTTAGGTTGAAAAGAGTTAGGTTCAACTGAACTGAGTTTGCTTTTCAGATAGAGACTTAATAGTCCTGAAATCCTCAGGCAAGCCATTTGCCAGTTTTTTAAAGACTTGTTCTAGCAAGGTAATAATAGCTAACTTGCTTACTTCAGAGTTCTTAAGTGGATTTTAAAAACTGTAATACGTAAATGTACAGTAATAGTAAGGTAATGAGGAGATGAAATAGGTACTTAGCTTCATTCTTAGCAATTGATGCATGATTTGATTTTTAATTTTTTTAAAGATTTTATTTGTGAGAGAGAGACAGAGAGAGGGACAGCACAAGCAGGGGGAGTGACAGGCAGAGGGAGAAGCAGGCTACCCGCTGAGCTAGTAACCCAATGCAGGGCTCCATCCCAGGACCCTGGGATCATGACCCGAGGCAAAGGCAGATGTTTAACCAACTGAGTCACCCAGGTGTCCCTGATTTTTAATTTTTTCTAAGGAACTTGTTTGAATGAAATACTAGTTTGATTTGTCTTTGTTTTAGAGCATTTCTAAAAATAGTTCTATTGACGTACAATTTACATACATAAAATTCACCCATCCAATTTTTTTTCTTCCCCTCCTGCTATCTTCTTCTTTTTTTTTCTTAACATATATTGCATTATTTGTTTCAGAGGTACAGATCTGTGATTCAACAGTCTTGCACAATTCACAGCGCTCACCATAGCACATACCCTCCCCAATGTCTATCACCCAGCCACCCCATCCCTCCCACCCCCCCACCACTCCAGCAACCCTCAGTTTGTTTCCTGAGATTAAGAATTCCTCATATCACTGAGGTCATATGATACATGTCTTTCTCTGATTGACTTATTTCTCTCAGCATAACACCCTCCAGTTCCATCCACGTCGTTGCAAATGGCAAGATCTCATTCCTTTGGATCGCTGCATAATATTCCATTGTGTATATATACCACATCTTTTTAAAATTTTTTTATTGTTATGTTAATCACCATACATTACATCATTAGTTCTTGATGTAGTGTTCCATGATTCATTGTTTGTGCATAACACCCAGTGCTCCACGCAGAACATGCTCTCCTTAATACCCATCACCAGGCTAACCCATCCCCCCACCCCCTCCCCTCTAGAACCCTCAGTTTGTTTTTCAGAGTCCATCGTCTCTCATGGTTCGTCTCCCCCTCCGACTTACTCCCCTTCATTCTTCCCCTCCTGCTATCTTCTTCTTTTTCTTTTTTCTTAACATATGTTGCATTATTTGTTTCAGAAGTACAGAACTGTGATTCAACAGTCTTGCACAATTCACAGTGCTCACCATAGCACATACCCTCCCCAATGTCTAT